CACCCTGCTCAATTTCACTTACAAGGTGTTGGCGCGCGTGGTGGCGAGCAGAATGAAGCAGTGGCTCCACCAAGTGATATCGGAGGAGCAATATGGGTTTATTCCTGGAAGAAGGATATCGGACGCGATTGGCGTGGTGGCGGACGTGGTTGAAGCAGCAAAAAAAGGGAATGAGGATTGGTACATGCTCCTGGTGGACTTCCGCAAAGTCTTTGATTCAGTGTCCCGGAGCTTCCTTTTCTCGGTCTTGAGAGATATGGGTTTTCCGGAAAGGTTCGTTGGCTGGGTGGAGGGCCTGCACAAAGACACAAGGACGAGGCTTTTAGTCAACGGCTGGCTGGGCGAAGCGGTGGAAGTAAAGTCGGGAGTGAGGCAGGGGTGTCCGCTCGCCCCGTACCTCTTTCTATGCGCAGTGGAGCCGCTAGCACAGGAGGCATATAGACGGAAGCTGGGGCTCTGCAACAAAGCTGGGCAGCGGCTAGTTTACCTGGGTTACGCGGATGACACGACGCTGTTCTTGGAGGGCAAACGGCAGATCGTCAGAGCAAAAAAACTTCTGAAGCAGTTTGCCGAGCTGTCAGGGCTGGTCACCAACAGAGAAAAATCAGTTGTCATGCCGCTGGGACACAATCTTGGAAGGAGACCTGGGACATTGGGGGGCTTCAAATGGGCGAAGGCAGATGAAGTTGAACGCCTTCTGAGGGTCTGGATTACTCCCTCCGGCAGCAGCGAACCGACCTGGTTAAGGGCTTTCGAGAAAATAACAGTGGAGCTGATCAAATGGAAAGCGCTTTTCCTCACGATTGCGGCAAGGGTGGTAATCATGAATTGCTACATCGCGCCCAAGGTGGCTTACCAGGCTCAGGTTTACCCCCCACCGGAAGATATCTGGAAGAAGCTGATGAAGCTGATTCACAACTTCTTGTCGGGTAACAACGCGTCGGCGGAGGGAGGTTTTGTGTTGTGGAGCTGGGATCTCCTCTCCACTCCACGGGCAGACGGAGGGCTTGGAGTGCTGGACCCGGAGATCCTCATGGCCTGTCTGGCGGCTAGAAGAATCGCTGGGCTTCTGACGGAGAGGAACGGCAAGAAAAAGGAGATAATGCTTAAGGCGGCGGGGCTCCCGATGGGGGAAGATACTTTCACGGCGCACGAAAAGTTGTTAAAACACTGGACGGGAGACGGTGAGCGGTGGAAGCAGACCTACGAGGCTTTCCTGAAATCCCCCCTCGCGGATACAGGGAAAGCCAACAGCAAAGAGGAGGTGGCGCAGGAAAGAATTATTTTCAACAGGCGCGTGTTGCTGAATGGTACAAACCCAGTGGGCGGGCAGAAGGAGGCGAAAGGGCTCTGGGAAACCCGCATGGGGGATCTAGTAACCAAAGCGCCTTCGGGTGAAGCGGTGGTCAAGGACATGGAAGTCCTGGAGAAGGAGCTGAGAGGCAAGGACTCCGTTCGACTGGCTCTCAAGGCTTTTGCTGCAGCCCCTGAGGAGTGGAAATCTCTCTTGGTTTCCAACGACATGGCTGGGGGGGGAAGGAGTGGAGGAAGCTGACATTGTAGCACGGACAGGAAGGGGTAAAGGAGCCACAGCATCAATTTTTCGGTCAGCAATTTTTGAAGGGGGGAGGGCAGCCCCTCTGAAGCGGATGAGGGAGGTCTGGACCAAACCAGACGCGATCTTGACGAAGCAGGCGAAGTGGTCTGGTCGTTGGAGCGGCAAGATTGATTGGCAGCGAATCATTCGCACACGCAACTCGCTGGCCATCCCGAGCCGACCAAGGGATGTTCTCACACGAGTGCACAACCTGAACCTCCAGGTTGGGGAACGAGTGGACTTTCTCAGCTGCAAGCCAAAATGCCCATACTGCGGGGAGGAGGAAACGACCGAACACTGCCTTTTCTCCTGCCCGAGAATTCAGCCAGTTGTCTCTGGGCTTTGTCGGGCTCTGCGCATGCTCAATCCCGGGAGGACAACTGCCTCGCTGGGAGACCTCCTATTCCAGGAAACCGGGACGGCGTCGGATTTTCCGGAGGCTACCCTCACAGCAATCACCTGTCATCAATTATGGGTAGAGAGATGTGAAGCAACTTTTCGAGGTCAGAAGTTCAGAGCCCGGCGGGTGCTCAGGAGGATCGGGACGGCTTTTAGGCTGCACGCGAGAGTGTACACAAGAGTAACGGGTACCAAAAGCCTGCGGTCAGGGCAGCCGGGGAAAGGCAAGCGGGTCCGGAGTGTTTTTGAGGCGGAGCAGAAAATGCTGGAGCGGATAAGGGAACCAGGCGACAAAAAGTGGAAGTGGACGACAAGCTTTGCTGCCATTTGGAACAAGCCGAGGAGGGCATCTCTGCCGCCCTAGATGCGCTGCTGGGCAATGCATGGCGCATGCCCTCACGCTCAGCTACGACTGCTTTTGATGTATGTATTATCCTCATCAATGCATATATCAATCTCAAAAAAAAAAAAAAAAAAAAAAAAAAAAAACAAGAGGCGACGGAAGTCGTCGTAGGGTTGCGAAGCTTTTTCAAATTGGAAAAACAATCGCTAAAATAAGTTCTTGGTAAGGTGATGTCCAAGAGATTCGAACCTAAAACCATTCGGATCTTAGTTGACATTCAATCGACTGAGCTACATGCCCCGTATCGGTTTGCGCGTTTTAACTTCAAGTGAAGTATCAATGCGACGAAGTTTGCATTCCCTAGGGTTTCATTTCTTCCCTTTTTTTCTCGCTGCTTCCTCTTGCTCGCTTACTCTCCCCAGCAGCAGACGCTAGTTCTTGCTTGTCTTCTCTCCTAGACACACTGGTATGTTCGTTTTTTCCCTAGATTGCATCTTCGTCAGCTCAAGTATATAGTTGTCGCGATATAGTTCCCTTCAATTTCGTTTTCCAGCTATGACACTTTTTGTTTTTCTGGTCGTTATTTCGTTTTCTCAACTTTGATTTCCACCTCATTGCTCAGTAACGTAGCCGTTTTCCTTATTCCTTTCTCTTCCGTTTTTACTCGTCGTAGTTTTCGTGCATACTCTATTTTCTACATTTTCGTTCTCGTTCTCTCTCTCTCTCTCTCTCTCTCTCTCTCTCTCTCTCTCTCTCTCTCTCTATCTCTCTCTCTCTCTCTCTCTCTCCCTCTCTCTCTCTCTCTCCCTCTCTCTTTCGTCGTTCTTTCTCTCGTTCTCTCTCTCTCGTTCTCTCCTCGTTCTCTCTCTCTCTCTCGCGTTCACTCTCTCTCTCTCGTGTTCTCTCTTGTTGTCTCTCTCTCTCTCTCTCGTTCTCTCTCTCTCTCTCTCTCTCTCTCTCTCTCTTTCTCTCTCTCTCTCTCTCTCTCTCTCGTTCTCTCTTTCTCTCTCGTTTTCTTTTTCTCTCTCTCTTTCTCTCTCTCTCTCTCTCTCTCTCTCTCTCTCTCTCTCTCTCTCTCTCTCTCTCTCTCTCTCTCTCTCTCTCTCCCTCTCTCTCTCTCTCTCTCTCGCTCTCTCGTTCTCTCTCTGTGAAATTCACAGCTAAGGTATATCGTTGTTTCCTGTTTTGTTACTTGCTCTGTTTTTTGCGTTCTGTTTTTTAACGTATAGCGTTGTTCATCATTTTTTTACCTTACCACCATTAGATTGCATTCTGTTTGGTTATTATAATATTCTCCTCATTTGACTTACTTTCTTTTCAATTTTCTCCACATTTTGATAATTCTTTTCTTCTCTCCCCTCTTCCTTCTTTCCCTCTCCTTCATTCGGTGCCTATTTGTTTTTCCAGATTTCCTTCTGGCTTTCGTTCCAGATGTGTACATCTGCCAAGATTACTTGTGAAGTGGATAGTAGTGGTAATCTGTAGGATTGTTTTGTATTGCATGTTTTGTTGTTTTTAGAGTTTTTTTGCATTTACGGTTTTTTTTTTTCCGTTTGTGTGAATGTGTGTGATCTTGTATATGTGTTTGTATGTGTGTGTGTGCCTTTGTGTGTGTGTGTGTGCTGTGGCTGTGTGCATTCATCCGTCTTTGATCTTTAAAAAGAAATCTCAAATCTATCATTTCACAAAAGGTTCATTGGCGCACTCAGTGACTCGTGTGCGACCACTTCGAACTGGATTTGATAGAGATGACTTTCTTTTTAGATTTCACAGATTGTGTTGTTTCATGTGGTAGTTGATTATTCAAAAGCTAAGCTATTTACCTCCCCCCCATGCTAGGCAGGGGACGGCGGTAGCTTAGTTTTTGGGTTTTTAACTGTCACGCATTTTACCATGTGCATGCGCATCATTCATGATATATCACACGCATTATATAGCATTATTTATGCATTATGCATTGTATAGCATCATTTATGCATTGTGCATGCATCAATTTATTATCACACAACACCATTCAACAATAAAACATATACGGTAATGCAAACAGTACAGCAAATCTGCACTAAACAACTGCAAAAAAATCATATGGTCTAATACACTGTGAACAGTACCGTAGTCAAGACTGCTTAACATGCATACAGTATGGGAAGGGTATTACTGTAGTTTGCAAATTTTATTTTCATGTTTTAACAAAAAATATAAACATGAAAATAAAATTTGGCAAAATCGATCGTAAAGGGTTGCTTCGCAACCCAAAAAGATGCACTTCTGCGGCACAACGGCTACTAGCTCACGTCGTGTTTAGCACCAGACAGTCGGACGGTGGGCTCTGCCCTGCGAGCACTGGACGAATTGCGAGCACTCGAGATTTATGTCTACCTGTCGAGCGACCTTTCTTCTCTTTCGTCACTCTCCTCTTTCGTCCGCTGTCGCACTGTTTCACCTCCGCGCTGCGAGCGGTCCGAAGCATACGTAATTTCCCTCTGGGAGAGTCTCTGTAACGCGCCGCGTCCCAGACCGCTCGGCAGAAACGGGGGTTATTTAGAGCCGCACTTCAGTGGTTGCTTTGTAACTCTTGGTTGATTTCGCAGACGTTAGTGACTCTGTCCCCGCGACACGCCTCCACCTCGTGGCGGCGCACGCGAATTTCAGCGACTGCAGATGCAGCCGGCGAGCATCCGTGCGTCGTGCGACGACCTGCACCAGTTGCGGCAGCCGGCGACAGCGGACCTGGCGCTAGCGACGCTGTTGGGCGACGATGCGCGATGGTTCGGATGGTCGTCGGAGGGTCGCCTGCGATGCACGCTGTCGCAACACGAGTTCCCAATCCGCGCTGAACACGTGGCGGGTCTAGTCGCCGTCGCACAGTCGCAATTAACGTCGCTTGAATCCCGTTGCGATTCGTCACAGCAGTCGCAGCCTCAACAGTCGCAGCCGCAGCTGTCGCAGGATGCGTGGTCGCAGCAGCAGTGGCGATCCGTGCGACAGCACGTGCGATCCAAGGCCTTCGCAGCAGCGGCGGCGTTGGCGGAGGCGATGGAGAGAGCAGCGCCGCACATAGTGGCGTGCGCTCAGGACAGGTGGGGGTGAGGATGAGGGGGATGAGGAATGGGGGATGGGGAATGGGGGCTATGTTACCATGGACGCGTCCAGAGTCTGAACGCCGGCGTCCACACACTGGAACTTCTAATCGGTGAAAAAATACGCCAGCGAGGACGCTTTCCCGGGCAAAAAAAAAAAACCGCCGGGCTGGCAAAAAGAGGTGCAATGGGAGAGAGGGGGTTCATTCAAAAGCATACAAAACATTTCAATCATAAAATTATGGGCATACATAGTATGTACGTACTACTACTCCTCCGTACATATTACTCGACTCGTTCATTCAGAAGCTCCCTGCATTCCTCCTCTTCCTTCTCCCACTCCTCCTCGTCCGACCCCTCATGGACGACGTACCCCTTGGGGAACGAGGGAGTAGGGATGATTTCCTCAAGGACAACTCCTTTCCCCCATATCAAGAAATTGGGCCTGAAATTGTGAATCGCAATTTCGCGTGACCCAAAGTTTTTTGTGAACGTCTAGTGTCCAGACGCGCTGAGTGGACGCACAAGGCTACCCTGATTGGGCGTCCATGGTAACAACATAGGATGGGGGTACGCTTGCATGCTCAGTGGGGGGAAGCGTGGTGATGAGAGCATGCCTTGTTCCGGTTACGCTGATTTTAAGTCGACTCAAAAACAGACAGGGAGGGGAGGGGTGGGACATGTAGCCCGGGCGGAGATGGGTGCATGTGCGGCGGATGCGGGTGGGAGAGACAGCACCATGCACTGTTGCATTCGCCCATCCCCTCCATACCTTTCCCGCTCCATCCTTCAGTCATCGCACATGCAATTCCATCCATGCATGAACCCATCCATGCATGACCCCATCCATGCATGACCCCATCCATGCATGACCCCATCCATGCATGAACCCATCCATGCATGACCCCATCCATGCATGACCCCAAGAACATACATGCATGCCTCACAAACAGCACTGTACTGCACCCGCCTCGTCCAATCGACCCCCAGACAGGAGCCATGACCTTTGCGTGGCAGCAGATTTTAGCAAACAGAAGTTTGTGTAGGCTTGCTTGTAAGAAACCCTTGTGAAAAGAATTTTGGCGGTAATTAGTTTCGGCTCTTCGAGCCTTCTTCAGACCACAGGTTCAAAATGAGAAGCAAGCTAGGCTAAATACCAACCCCTAGGGCTCAATCGCGAGGCATTCCTCCGCGTGGCCAGGGAAGGTGGGGGAAAGCTAGATGAAAACAGTAGAAAAAAGATCTACAGTACACTAGCACTTATGAGCTGAAATTACATAACTACCAACTCGTTTCGGTAAACTCCAAGCGGGAATTGCTCTGCGTGTAGAAGAAATACCATGTGACATTGTACCGATTTGACTTTTGAGTCGACTCAAAGTCAACCCGCCTCGTCCCGTCCAGCCTTTGGTTCGCTCCCATGGAATCCTTAGTCCCCTCCATCCACCCCTGTCCATCCAACCCCCTCCATCCACACCCCTCTACCCACCCCCCTTTGCCCGTACACACAGCACTCGCTTACAGTGCATGCTAACTGGCAGCACCATCGCTTACAGTGCATGCTAACTGGCAGCACCATCGCTTACAGTGCATGCTAACTGGCAGCACCATCGCTTACAGTGCATGCTAACTGGCAGCACCATCGCTTACAGTGCATGCTAACTGGCAGCACCATCGCTTACAGTGCATGCTAACTGGCAGCACCATCGCTTACAGTGCATGCTAACTGGCAGCACCATCGCTTACAGTGCATGCTAACTGGCAGCACCATTGCTTACAGTGCATGCTAACTGGCAGCACCATCGCTTACAGTGCATGCTAACTGGCAGCACCATCGCTTGCACAGCAGCACCATCCATCCACCCCATCGTAATCCCTCCTTCCCATATCTCCTTGCCCATCCCTCCTTGCCCATCCCTCCTTGCCCATCCCTCCGTGCAGCACGCATCTGCAGTGCATCCTCACAGGCAGCACCATCGCTTGCAAGGCAGCAGCCATCCACCGTCACACTGCTGGCCACCGCTGTCAAGCCGCTCTGGGTATGCACCCCCCCACCCACACTCACCTGTTGACAGCTGGCCTTGGCATGCCTTGTGAGTCTCCTCGAAGGATGAAGCACGTTCACTATGCTTGGCACGGCAGCAGCCATCCACCGCCACACTGCAGAACAACGCTTCCGAGCTGCTCTTGGCATTGAAATCCCCGCACTCATCCCTGCTATCGCCGCACCCTCAGCCTTCCGCAGCACCTCGACCAGCAGCACACCTCCACCAGCAGCACACCTGAAAGGTCCTTCATTATATGAGCTTGATAAGTACCAGCACACCTTCTCTCTTCCCGTGCCCCTGTCACCAACACACTCAGCCATTCCCCTGCTCTCTTTGTGTAACCATTGCGACCAGGATATGTAACCATCGTGTCCTGTGCATGCATGCATTCTGTGTACCCATGCTTTATAGCCATTCCGTGCTATCGTTCCCATGCCATCACCCCCATGCCACCACCCCCCATGCCATCAACCCCATACCACCACCCCCCATGCCACCACCCCCCATGCCATCAACCCCATACCACCACCCCCCATGCCACCACCCCCATGCCATCACCTCATGCCACCACCCCCCATATCACCACCCCTCATGGGCAGCCAGATTGGAGCCCGAGAAGGCTGCTGCACAGCGACTGGATCAGGTGGGTTGGCTGTTAGGTGTTGTGTTGGAGGTGCCGTGCTCATGTGCTAGTGTGCTGGTATCGTGGCGTCGTCAGGGCGTGTAAAATTTTTGTGTATCAAACGTTTCTATCGCCGTTAGCGCAAAAGTTTACAGGGTATCCCTATTCGTCGAAACCCGTCATCGACTACAGTTCCATGCGAGTTACTGCGAGGAGGGATACCTTGTATTTTTTCGCCCGAATGGCGGTACGGACAGTGGTTACGCGAAAAAGTTATGCACCTTGGTATGGTGTATATGTAATCGTCGCTATGTGTTGCTGGTCTGATTGTTGTTCTGTGATGTATTGGTGTGTTTGTGTGGTGTGTGGCGTGTGGTGTGTTTGTGTGGTGTGTAGCGTGTGGTGCCTGCGTTGATGGTCTAGTAGAAGAGGATGGGCAACTCACTGCAACATTCTTCCTGCCCCGTCTCCATGTCAACCAGTGCACCGCACATGAGGGGAGTGCCTGTCAACCAGTGCACCGCACATGACGGCAGTGCCTGTCTATCGCGAGCAGTGACTCTAACTGTGCCGGGCTTGGGTGTGTGTGTGCTTTACTGTGTGCTTCGGTTTGTGCTTGTGCATGTTGTGGGAGGGTGGGGATGCGGGCACTATCCCACCACCAGTGGCAACAAGCCATAGCAGCGCAGCAGCAGCAGCAGCAGCAGCAGCAGCAGCAGCAGCAGCAGGCTGTAGCAGAAGAGGCGGGTAGCATTGCAGCAGCGGTGTCGCCCAGACAACACTTGTGCAGCGCTGGCAGCAGACGGACGAGATGTAGCGCATGCACCACTGCAGCCCCAGCAGCCCATGCCATCGTTGCAACCACAGCAGCCCATGGTATCGTTGCGACCACAGCAGCCCATGGCATCGTTACAATCACAGCAGCCCATGGTATCGATACAATCACATGCCATGCATGGTCCAATGGAAGGCACGTCTGTGCTACATGCCGCGGGCATGGATGAGGATCAACCCATGCGTGACAACACCCCCTGCGAGGCACCACCGTAAGTCTTGCTACGCCCCTCATGCAGTGCCCATTCGTGCCGTGCCGCGTGACTCTATCTGTGCCGCGTGACTCTATCTGTGCCGCGTGACTCTATCTGTGCCGCGTGACTCTATCTGTGCCGCGTGACTCTATCTGTGCCGCGTGACTCTATCTGTGCCGCGTGACTCTATCTGTGCCGCGTGACTCTATCTGTGCCGCGTGACTCTATCTGTGCCGCGTGACTCTATCTGTGCCGCGTGACTCTATCTGTGCCGCGTGACTCTATCTGTGCCGCGTGACTCTATCTGTGCCGCGTGACTCTATCTGTGCCGCGTGACTCTATCTGTGCCGTGACTCATACCCATTCATGCCATGCCTCATACCCATTCAACCTTGCTTCAATCTGCCATGTCCATGTATTCGATTGTATGTCTCATTCGTCTCTCTCATGCAGCCATGTCCAGTAGGTGTCAAGTCATTCAACCTTCCGAATGCATGCAAAGCAGCCACCATCTCTCCCACTCCAGCTCGGTTTCATGCCGGTTACCGCGTGTCAATCATGCAACACATGCTCTTGCATACCATCCCTCAGGAACTGCACAACCATGAACTAAATGCCATGTCCTGCCACGCCTTGTCGCACAGAGCATGCATTTGCGTGTCGATGTGCCACATACAGCAGCCGTGCGCTCTTCTCTGCCATACCATGCAATTCAGTACCTTGTATCCGTGTCTCCTTGTCTTGCAGACAAAAAAGGACTGCGGTGGGCTCTGTTGGTTCGCGCATCAATGCTCCACAACACAAGAAAATATGCATTTGAGTGTAGCCACTGGGGTTACTGTATGCTGGATGGTGTTTCTGGTGGGGATGTTTTTCTCCTGCCTACGGTCTCTACGTCTGTACAGTAAGGAATTTTGACCGCCTTGCAAGTCTTTAACGAACTCACACCCTGATCTCCGTGTACAAATGCATCTGTTCAATGGCCAAGGACAGCTTAAATGCTAATAAAGCCATTATAGCCGATGTTCGATCCTAATAAACTACTATGTGTAGATCCCAATTCTAATTGGGTTAACCAGTATTGTCAAACATTGTATCTGTGTGTTAGGCTATGGTGAGGCACATTGTAGGGAGGGTAACACTTGTAGGGTTTGTATTCATACCTCCCACTTTCCTTAGTTCATTCATTCCGATGTTAGAGCGTGTTCCTACACCTCGTATTAGATTTGTGTGGTGAAATGCGTTTCAGTGTGTTCGACTGCGGTTGGATGCGTTTTAGTGCGGTTCGACGCGAAATTGATACGAGGTTGCCTGATAGGAACACGCCCTTACATTCAAAGATGGTATCAGATTAGGTAGCTCCTAGGGCCTAGCTCCGTCCGTCTCCGCCCTAGCTCTGTTTGTCCGGCTCCCTGCCCGTCCGTTAGAATCGTGCGCTGCCCCATGCACGCTTCCCCACGCTGCCGCGCTCTGCCTTAGGCTGCCCCACGCACTGCTAACTGGCGCTCTGCCTTAGGCTGCCCCACGCACTGCTAACCGGCGCTCTGCCTTTGGCTGCCCTTCGCTCTGTTGGGCTGAAAAAGGCCCTTAGGATCTTTAAGACTAAGACTCTGAATAATGATGTAATTGCGGAAGCGTTCTTTAGTAAACGAGTTGAACCACCTTGTGCTGGTGTATGAGGACAAGATAAGTTAATTAAAACAAAAGGGATACAAGCTTTTATATGATTACAAGAGAATACAAAAGGTTTTAATTAACTGCTATTTGTAACTGTAATTGTAACTTCTGCTGTTGCGGTTCGATACAGCGACGACTCGGGCAACTGCTCAATAGCGAGTCAGTTGTGTGTCCTTGTTGTCGCGCTGTATTTGGTGAGTCAAAGGTCGCTGACCTTTGACCTTCGCTCAACCTCCAGCTGTTACATTTTGTCAACCTCTTCGGTTGACTCGCTGTTGCATCGTTATAGATTGCTTCGCTTGCAGTTCGATGTTCCGATACATCAGAAGCGTTAAATCACTTGTTTCCAACACTCCCCTTCGCTTCTGGAGTGTTGTTGTTGGTGACGTGGCCTTGTCCAGTCAGCAGCATGCAGTACTCGAATTTCTGCTTTCCGAGTTTCTTGGTCAAGTAATCTGCTGCCATCTCGGATGTGGGGCAGTAGGACAGCTCGAGTCTCCCCTTCTCGATTTCGTCCTTCACGAAGAAATATCGCAGGGCGATGTGCTTCGTTCGATTTGCGAATCCGCTTTTGTTTGCAATACGGATCGCTAATTTGTTGTCGCAGAAAAGTGAGAAGCTGGGTAACTGGGCCAGCTTTGCTTCTTCCAGCAATTCGCGGAGGTAGAGACCTTCCTTGGTGGCTGAGCAGAGTGCGATGTTTTCTGCTTCGGCTGAAGAGAGAGCAATCAGTTCCTGCTTGCTCGACTGCCATGAGATAGGCCCGATAGGTTCGAGTCGGTAGATGTAGCCGGTGCGTGAGCGCCTGTTGTCGGAGTCGCCGGCGTGATCTGCGTCGACATAACTGATTAGTTTCGGGGTCGTACTTCGGCTTTTGTGGTAGGTTAGTCCGACCGTTGGTGTGCTGACGAGGTAGTGTAGTGCGCGATTAAGTTCCGCCATGTGCTCTGCTTCGGGCTTCTCGAGGTGGGTGGCGAGTTGGCTCGCTGAGTATTATAGGTCCGGTCGGCAGGTGACGGATGCGAATAGTAGGCATCCCAACTTTCGTTGGTAGTCCCGTATGCCGGCGGATCCGAGCAGAGTGGAGCTTTCCTTGTTATTTCCGGCGGTTTTTTGTAGCGGTTATGGCGTGGAGATAGTGGCTGGAGTTAATCTGAAGCGCTTGGCGATGGTGTCGGCGTATTTCGCGGCGCTGAGGTAGATCGCGTTCTCCCCTTCCCGTATGTTGAGCCCGAGATACTGCGTTACGGTGGAGGAGACGGTGAGTGTGAGATCCCGCTGCAGCTCCCCTTCGAACCAGGTCGTGATGTCGTTGGTTGAGCCGATGTAGAGCAGGTCGTTCATGTAGACAATGAGCAGAATGTAGTCAGTGCCTTTCGTGAGTCGGTACATGCCTTGGTCGTGCGGTAGTTGGCGGAATCCGATGCGAATTAGTCGGATGTGTAAGTACTGCTGCCACAGTCTCGGGGCTTGTTTGATGCCGTACATGGATTTCAGCAGCTGACAGACCTTATTAGGGTCTGTGTTGGAACCGTGTGGTTGCTCAACAAAGATTTCGGCATCGATGGGTGCGTAAAGAAATGCATTGGCTACGTCGATTTGACGGAGCTTCTTCCGCTTCATGGCGGCTATCGCGAGGAGAATTTGAGGTGAGGTGTGACGACTAACAGGTGCAAAATTCTCGGTGAAGTCTCGTCCGTGTTCTTGGTCGAAGCCGCGCACGACCCATCGTGCTTTGAACTTGTCGATCATTCCGTCTGCCTTTGTCTTCACACAGAAAAACCATTTCCCGATGAGTATGGTTTTGTTGCATGCCAGGGCGATGGGCACAATTTTCCATGTGTTTTGGTCTTCTAAAGCTTTTAGTTCTGTGTCCATGGCTTCGCGCCATTTCTCTCTGTGCTCCCCCCCCAGAGCCTGCTGAACTGTGGCACGCTCCTTAGGCGGTGTTGCTCCGTGGACGGCGGTGACGAGGCCCAGTATCTGCAGTCCACTCTGTGTGTATCGGGGGAGAGTTGCATCCTCGGTTAGACTGCTTCGGGTCCCGCTTCTGGATCGGGTAAGAAATTGGGTCACACACGTTCTGCTTCGTCGGTGTTGACCCTTGCAGGTGTAACGTAACCGTTGTCGGCGAAGTCGTAGTAGACTTCAGCATTGATGCTTTCGCGAGGGTTGTCGTCGTCCATCGGGATATCTACTGAGCAGTAGGGTAGAGGTCCGGCTTCCTCCGATGCGCCGTCTACATTTTGTTCGTCCCAGTCAGCTTCTTCTGCTGACGAGGCGAAGGCCCTATCACCACGAAAGCCACCTGTGGGG